TAACGCACGGTAATTTAACCAATTTTTCCAAAAACCGTTTGCGTAGCGTTATGTACTGTCAAAAAGTAAAAAGTAAACGATAAAAATAATTTTTGTTGAAAAGAAATTGGAGGATTGAGTCTTGACATGCAACCAGGTCACAAAACTACTAGTTGTAGTCGAAAAGTGTGTAATATTCGTGCTCTACTTTCTACCGCGGTATCAGCTGAAGGCAGAAAAGAAGAATAAGCGCCTCTCTTCCGCTTCTCTTTTCTCCTCGCAACCCATTCTCACAATAACAAGAAGCCCCCCTCTTCCATCGGCCGTTGGTGTGTCTTGTCATGGATCGGGGCGGTTCCCGGTATACTTTTCCCGGAGTGACACTACACTTTTACAAAAGCTGAGGTAATATTAGTCGTAGAATATGGAGGAAAAACATCAGAAAGGCTAAACTGTCATAAAATAAACTACAGGAAGGATCGAAATTTCCAAAAAATGACAATTTGATGGATTGAGTTTCCGCTTTGGTACCGCCCACTACAACTCTAAACTAGTTGTAACTTCGAATTTTGCAAGACATTTTCAAAATCATTTGCGGAATTTTATCTTCTGTCGGAAATACAGTGATTATCAGGGATTTTGGTAAGTAAATGGTCCAAAACGGAGGATTGAGCTTTTACGCTTTTGAGCACTTTTTGAGGTTTTTGCACTAAACGTCAAAAGTAGCATTTTGGAAAAATCTTATTTTAGGCCACCTGTTAGCTGTTAATAGAAGGAAACCGATGGTACAATTGGTAATATCAAAAAAAGCAAAAATTAAGTTTTCGTGAAATTAAGTTGATACGATCACATCAATTTACGACCAAAAACCATCGACTAAATGGACCGAGAATAAAAAGCAGGACAGTCAGTCAGTCAGTGAGCCCCACCAGTGGTTGGTAGGGGAGCATCGGCTGTCGGGTAGAGGAAAAGAAGAGGTGGGCAGGGGATACAAGGCCGTATCCCGTATCAGATCATGCAACCAGGCCACCACAGATCCCATCTCTCACTCAAAAGGAAGGAGCCACAGGGGAAGGAGCAGCAGCACACAGCTCGACCTGGACGACGGTGAGGACGACGGATCGAGACAGCCACTACGAGAGACTACGGCTCAAGGCACTCCCTCTGCACAGCTGATACTACGGGGGAAGGGGCAGGGGCCATTCACAGGCTAATAAATTGGATCACTTGGCTGATTGATGGGTTTTTTGGGAAAAATAAAAACATTTCCGGTCTCAAAATCGTGAAAATGGCTATACTGTCATGTGAATTCATCGCATAACCGATTATTGGAGGGCTGGGAGTAAATCAAAAGGATTGAGTTTTTGAGCAATTTCCCAGAAAATGAGAAAAACTAAATTTCTTAGATTAAAGCTGAATTCGGTCGAACTATTGTCAAAAATGAGTTAACTGGCTTTAAACAATGCTAATGGGTGTTGTTAGACTATCTAGAAATATGTTTACAAGGATTGAGTTTTGTAACGGCGAAAGTATGAAAATAGGAAAAGTCGACGAAACCTGATAAAATCCAAAAAACCTGGGAAGCCAGTGCCAGTTTTATTAAAACTACCGGTCATACAAGGTTTTGAAACAAAATAAAAAAGCAAAATAAGTATTTTCAAGGATTGAGTTTTAGCAAAAAAGAAGGTGCCAAGATTCTTCAAAAAAACTTTCAAGTGCTGCAGATTTTCGGCAAAATGGGTGCTAATAATCAAAAAGCTATCAGTTTAGCTAAATCCGTAAAATACAACTGATTTGCCATAAAAATAAGTCATTGACAGTCGGTTTCTTGTCGAGACAAATCGGTTAGAGGGGGGAAGTTTGTCGTGTGGTGGGTAGGGGGGGGGGATGGAGGGGACATCCCATCCTTCCATTCCCTTCCCTTCCTTTCTCAGGGTCATCCTCCCCTCCTCTGTTGCTGCTCTCGGGTTGAGAAAAGGGTTCGTTTTATTAGCCCCGTCACCACCACCATTCCCCCACAGATTTACCGCATTTTCAAAAAGGAAAGAGTTACAAATCTCGAAAAGTGTGATTTTGATCGCGCTTTAGGTTGCGCTCCAGAACATATTTTGGTCGCGTATTTGTATTTTCTGGTAGACAGTTAGCTATAAAATTTAAAGCTTTTTCCAATATTTTTTAGTCTTTACCGGATTTACCGCGTTTCAAACAAAAATAAAGTTTGAAAGCTAAGAGGGCCATCCTAACGTATCTTTTTGTAGGTTGCACAACAAAATAAATTTTACCAACATATATTTGTTGTCTGCTTGCCATTTAAGCATAAAATTTAATAAACAAAACCGACCGTTCTCCAAAATCGTCTTCAGCCTCGTCGTTTCCGCCTCGAGCCGCAAGAAATAGTCGACGAGGGCCGTTGGAGGGTCCATTCTGACAAGCGCCCAACCGATTACGACCTAAAAATCAAGGATTGAGTAGACTGACATACAACAAAACCGCCACTATCACTAGAATAGAGTTTTCCCAAGGCCAAAAGTCAAAAACGTTTGTGAAGCAGGGCCGACTGGACGCTCTGCCCTCGAAATTAAAGGGGTGTGAAAGGCAAACAAGTAGATGAGGGGACTGCCAGTATCTTTTTCACGCCATTTCCCAGATTCGGAATATTTGGGCAGCAGGCAGTGCCGACAAACAGTTCAGTTCACATCCATCCCGCCCCGCTATAACCAACACCATCCCTACCCTCGCGAAATCGCCGGCATAAGGGGCAACGGGTTCACGGCTTCATAGTTAGAGGAATTCCCGTTCAGAAAACCGGAATTCGAACCAAGAAACGTGAAAATAGCAAAATGGAACGAATTCTGAAGAAACATGCTAAAAGATTGTTGGATTGAAAAGCTTAGGCCTGCCGCTAAAACTCAATCCTTGGGTTTTGCAAGTTACACTATAAATTTAACGAATCCCGGCCAGCTTTTAGTCAATTTAACCAATAATAAGAACTTTAGGTTGTTGCTAAAGTTTTGCTTTTGGAAAAGTTGTCTTGCGAAAGTAATAGCTAAAAATTGAAAAGGCCTGGTCGCAAAAACTCAATCCTTATAAATGAGGATCAATACCGTAATTTTTCTGAATTTGAGTTGATTTACAATCAATTTAAACGATAGTGAGAATGAAATAACTTATCAGTCAGAAGGGATCCCGTTATGAGCAACGCCGCCCAGGCCCCCGAAAACGTCACCCAACCCCTCGCGATATCGCCGGCAAAGGGGGCAACAGGTTCATCGCTTATTAGCAAGAGGATTTGGCGTTCAGAAAGCTTGAATGCAAACCAAAAAACTTGGAAAACAGCAAACAACATGTTTTTGAACGGATTGCATCCGAAAAGTTAGCTGGATTGACAATCGCGAAGCAGCCGCCGAAACTCAATCCTTGGGTTTTGCGAGTTATGCTATAGTTTTTACAATTTGCCATGAGTTTTTAGTCAAGTTAACGCATCCTAAGAAGTTCAGCATGTCTTGAAAGCTTTGCTTTTCAAAAACTCGATTAGCTAGCAAAATATCGGGAACCAGTTTGATAGAGCGCTGACCTGGCAAACTCAATCCTCGCAATTGATGATTCATACGGTAATTCTTATGATTTTGCGATGTTTTACAATCAGTTCTGACGATATTGGGATTTAAACTTTATCATAAAACTTTTCCCTTTAATTCCAGCATCAATCTGTCTGTTCGACCCGCTGCCGAGACCCTCAAAACCGCGGGCATGCAGACTAAACTGAATCCTTGGGTTTAGCAATCTAAGTCATAGATTTAACAAATTTCGATAGTTTTCTAGCCAATTTAACCCGTGATGGGGCTTCTGTCAAGATTTAACCTCGCGCTTCCGAAATGACCGACTTCTTCCAGAATCCCAGGTTATGCAGTCAAAATCACAAAATTGCCGCCCCAAATCAATCCTTGGGGTTTTCCGAGTTAAGCGTCAGATTCAGCAAATTTGAATGACGTTGGGGTCAATTTGCCGCACGCCAAGAATTTTATAATGTCTTATCGTTTTGCTTTTGAAAAAGAAAATATCGACTTATTGAGATAATTTCGAGGGCGATCGGAAAACTCAATCCTTAATCTTCCTGATCGATGCTCTGAATTTCACAAATTCAGAACGTTTTATGTTCAATTTAAACGATATCATGGTTTAAACTTTAGCAGAAAGCTTTTCTTTTAACTCCAGTCACAACCAGTCTGTTCGACCGCACCAGGCGAGGAACTCAATTCTTCTGCTTTGTGAGTTATTCATTAAATTTTACAAATTTTGGGCCGTTTTTAGTCAGTTTGAAGGAAGTTACGCATTTTAAAACGTTTTTGACGTTTCGGTTTTGTGAAAATGGATTACTAGTTTATGGGTATCCCGGGATGAATTTCGAATGAATGAATTTTGCTAAACAACAATAGAATGCACCCGGAATTGTAGTTTTCCAAGGTTGCCCAGCGACGAATGGGCGGTATGAAAAATTGGATCTGGACACAGCGTTGCGAACACCTATTCCGAAAGGTCAACCGCGCCAGCAGTAAAAACTGGTAGTGTATTTTTTGAGGCTCTATTTAATAGCGTTAACAAAATGTCAAAAATAATATCGAAACTCCCGAAAAATAGCTTACCCACCCCGTTTTCAGGGCCCTTTTACCTTTGTTCTAGCTTTCTTAAGTTATTATTTTTGATCTAGAGCCACGATTTCTTGGTATATTTTGTTGATTTTCTTGGGCTGCGATGATGTAGTCCCGATATCACATAAAACATTGAAAAATCTACGACATTAACGCCCCCCGCTAACGAACAAGAACCTGGAGAGTTCTTGTTCAGCAGCGGCCGCTGGCAAGTCTTCAGAAACTTGTCAAAAGCCAAAAGTTTCAAATCCAGTTGCCTCTAAACGGCCTTTTATTTCGTACTTGGATGCTGGTTGAAGCTGTTAAGCGAACTTTCGTATGTTGCAAAGACATATTCAGGGCGTGCAATAACAATTCATGCCGTGAACCTCAACCACAACGCGGAGCAGTCGATTCGACGTTACTCTTGAGGCATTGATTTTTGACGGTCTGGTCGACGCACGTCGACGAGCTGGACCAAGTTGCGAAGATGGCCGTTCGACTGTCGTACCCGTCATCGGGCGAGACACCCTCTCGTAGATATTGGAAGCCTGGGTTGCCCTGGTACTGGAAGATTGTTTGGTTGGCGCCGCATGAGTTCGTTAGGTTTGCGACCCAGCCGAGCCTGGTCCAAAGAGTAATATTCCGGTTGGCGCCAACGAGTTGGGCACCTAAAAAGAATTTTGTTTCATATTGAAATTGCGCGAGTAGCTCATTTGACAGGGGCTTCAGCTTTTGAACTTATCCCATTTTTTACAAAACTCAACGACTAGGGGTTGGGGCAGGCAAGGATCGCTGCCCTATGAGAGGCATATCGCGTGCCCGCAGCCTACGGCACTCGAAAGCTTTTGGATGCGGGTTCGATCACCGGCCGGAGCAATTGTTTTGCGTATTGGATCCGGAGCGATCTTTGGAACTGGGAAGCTTGTAATTTCTAACTAAAGTGTTGGAAAAAAGCTGTTCGGAAAGGGCCGATTCAATAAACTGAAAATCACTTGGCCGGAAGCTCAGAGCACCTCGGAATGGGTTTCCCCAAATCCCGGATCCCTCAAGGGTTCCGCAGCAATGTCCGAATTTACGATTTAGGTATCCATCCAAGGCTCTCGGTGAGGTGCGTCCAGAAGCTCAATCGGATTTTCCAAATTCCGGAATTTTTTGACCGTAATTTATTATTCTGTGTAAGCGCGCAAATTTTTTCCTGGAGAGTTTTTTTGTCAAAGAAAAACCCCCATTTCTAAATGCTCCGTTTTTCTGGCAGTGGATGACAGCTATTAGAACAGCCATTTAAGAAAAGACAGCTTCGAAGGCGCATAAGCCGGTTAAATTGAGTATTGGGAGGTACGAAAATGGTAACTTGCCGGGATAGCTAATATCAAATAATCCGGAATTTCGAAAACAACAAAGCTAGATCCGTAAAAACCATGATGGTAATACTTACCATTAGGATTAACATATAGCTCCAGCGATCCATCGCACCCCGGGTCGTTAGCGCCATACCACCAAGTATTCCTGAAGTTTTTTAATACGAAAGAAGAGATGTTATAGTCAAAATCGGGGCATCATACGGGACTAAGCTTTTGCGCTTAAAACATGCTTTTTGTACCAGCCTTTTTAATCTGGTCGTTTCGCTGATTTTGAAATCAGCATTCGAATCACCGAAAATTCTGCACAAGCTATGCTTGGCCCGTGTGGGAACCGGATTATCACAAAAAATCTCCTTTAAAACGATTGAATTACCCGTTACAATACATCGGTGTGGGTACGGTATCAGCAAGGCCGGCGCGCCAAACGTTTATATTACTGCCTCTGAGGAATCGCGGGATTCGTTTAAGTGCTGGGGAGCGACGGATGTGGTTGTTTCACTAATTGTGGTGCTTTTGAGTATTGTACTCGGGTAGGTGGTAGGCTTTTCGGAATCGACAGTACTGGTCGTGGCGGCGGCGGAAGCTGAAATGTGCTATTTCTGGGCGGCAGTACCACATTTGCTACAATGAGCGGGCTTTTGATGTCATATCGCCTAATTTTTCCCAGTCTCTCAAGCTCTTGATTTTACCTGGAAGCTGAATTGCCGCAGCGGAAGCGCTTGCGCAAATGCCGCTTTGTTTTGCGTAGTAGATGCACTGTTCGTTTTCGCCCTCCAGCACGGCCACCCTGAATTGCGGTAGATGGTCAACTTTGGCAGATCCAAGAAATTTTTTAGAGGGGCCAGAAAATCAAATTTGGGTGTTCCGGGTCAAGTGCCCTTGCAAAAAAGGAAACGCTAAAAAAATGCCGACGAATTGTGTTCGCCGCGAAAACGGCCAAACATTTGATCTAAAAAAATGTTTTTGGGGATGGATTAGACTTCCCTGTCCCTTTAATTCACACCATACGTTCCAATCATGCCGATGACACAGCTAGCCGGAGCAGTCACTGTGCAACAGCGTACATGCGTACAATCCGCATCGGAAGTGATGCAGTTTCGCATAGCAAGAGCGAGCTAAATTTCAGAATTGCTAGATGCTGCGGAAAGTACATTTGGATAAGCAATATTGCCGGCGACAAATTGCGTGTTGGCAACGGTGGACGTTCGCGCAAAATAATTCTGCCCCTAAAAATGAACCTTAGGCTTTTACGGTATTCCTACTACCCAACTACTATCTACCATATTACCTTAACGTAGTAGATTGCACAAAATAGCTGTGCGTATCTTAAGATGGAAGACGACATTAAATGTACTATTTCCAAGTTCATAAGCGTCGCTAAAGGCTCAAATTTCCGTGGTATGGAAAAATCAACTTTTCGGGCATGTCTGGGAAAAGTTTTCAAATTCCAAACCACGCTACCGGATAATGCCTGGCTACAAATTGCTGCCGGCGCAGTGAGGCGGTGGCTCGCGGAAATTTGGTCCTGACCCTGGAGATTAATGGAAATTGGGTGCATCTGATGGAGTTGTTTTGGCTTTGCCTGAAAATCTTACTGCTTCCTTGACGTCGAAAATTATGATGAATGAAATTTCGAAACTATGAAATTTCGACGTTACGAATTCGACATTATCATCACAAACCCAGTGATTCATCAAGCAGATTCACGCCATGTGTTGTTTTCAAGAAAGTTGAAGCCATTTATTAACGACCTTAATTGCCGCCTCACGACGTGCAAACCGGGTACATCTTCTTATATATAGCACAGTTTGTGTCCATCTTCGTGTCGATGCACGTCCCGCCGACCCCCGTCCACGCATAGAAGACGATGCCGAGGCGTCGGCCTGGATTCCGTGTCGTCCCTGCGGCCAGGTAGAAGTTGTACGTCGTGGCGGCGGCTCCGATTCCGACTAAAACCACGTTTGGAAGGAGGTGGAACCCGGACGGCTTGTTGCGTAGTTACCTCACCAATCGTCGCCGCGAGCCACAGAGTGTAAGGTATACCGAAATTCTGGCAAAGCGGCGACAAAGAGGCAAATTCTCGCAAGTGACGCACTCTTTGAAAGATTTTAGTGTACCTTAAACCCTTAGGGCCGTCGTTTTAAAGGTGCTCGGAAGTCAAGAAGCGGTTACTGCAGAGAAAGCCCAGTAAATCAATTTCATTGCGAAAACGCAAAATATTCGAGTAAAACCGAAATTTTGCTGGGGCAAAAATGAATTCGAATTTCGAAGATGACAATCCATCATCACCACCACATCCACCCACTATTTGAGGATCAGAACGCCATGACGTGGCTGGGGCCTGGGGAGGACCGCCAAAGGGGGAACACGCTGCACCAAGACGGGGTTCCCTGAAAATCTTGATGTACAAAACAGAAAATAACTTTGAATTAGGTTAAACTGACTTGCTATAGACTTTTAGCGATTATTAAAACGCTAAAAAGATGCAATTTGAAGGATTGAGTTTTTGGAGTGATACGTACTTTTTGGTAAGATTCATGAAATATAGGATTTAAAAATATTATTTTCGAAATAGCTTTTTTCTAACCTAAGTTACCGTACGCTTGATGTAAATACGCAATAAAAAGCGATTTAGCACAACTTTGAAGGATTTCGGAGTGATACGTACTTTTCGAAAAACATGATATAAAGCGCTTAACCGTAGTATTTTTGTAAATTCGTTCTGTGCCAGATTAAACTGCCGGATGATAAAAGTTAATGCGGAATAAACAATAAATTTAGGACAAGTTTGTAGGATTGGGTTTCTGGAGTGCCACATACTCTTCGAAAAAAAACGTTAAATAAGGGATTAAAAAGATATTTTTTTTCCGGAGCCTTTCTTTTCTAGCTTAAACTACCTTGCGTTTAGCACAGATCAAGAATCAAAATAGAAGTTACGTTGATTTTGAAGGATTGAGTTTTTGGGGTGGCACTTATACAGAAAAACCTTGAAATAAGGCGTTTAGCCTGGTATTTCTGTAGATTATTTCTTGAATAGATTAAACTACCTTGCGAGCAAATTCAATAAATAAATATCATTAAATTAAGACCGGCTTTCAAGGATTGAGTTTTCAAAAACTTGCATTTGATGATGCGTGGCATCCGTCGATAAAGATCGGGAGTGATATGACGGGATTTCGTGGGACACTTCTAAACCAGACAATTAGATATAATAAAAAACCAGCTGCCGCAAATTAATTATATGACGGTACTTACCACTCATACTGAAGCTGGGTTTATGCATTGGCCGAGGGATACCCGGTTGAGGGATATGAGAGGAGGATGAGGGGGCCGAATACAAAGAATTCACCAGTTCCGGGGCAGAACCCTATAAAGTGAAGGTCAGATAAGCTAAAATTATAAGTTGTAAGGCATTGGCTAAGACGGACCATTCTCTGATGCATATATTGGGGTTGGCCCACCCCTGGTGATGTTGATGATTGAGGGCTGAGCGTCAATTGGCTATTTGACTTGAACCCATCATCCGACGATCCCTGGAAAAAGATTTTTAGATAGGCTTCTATCCAGTTTAAAAGTTATGAAGGTTATAAATTACAAAAATCTGTACTTTTACAGTATCCGGAGAGACCGAATTTGCCTAAAATCATTACTTTTGTTTTTGTAATTTTGCCCAGTAACTTAATAGTAAATATTCAAATATTGTTTTTATTAAATCTTAGCATAATCTAAAGTCGAAAGCCATCTAAAAACTTTTTAATGTTCAAAAAAATTCGGAATTTCTCTCAAAATTCGGGATTTTTGGTCGAAAAATCGAAAAGTTTAACAGATTTTTTCGTTTAGAGTATAGTAAAAACACAGCAATTTAGACAGTTTAAAAGATTCGTTAGCTAAAAACTAGAAAATACAAGAAACGACGTACCACTGGGGAATGTCCAGCAGATCCCCTGCCTCTATTGGTAGGTTGTTGATAGAATGCCGCTGGGAGTTGAGGCTTCAATTTCGAGTTTTCAATATTTGACCATTCTGGCATACCTTATTTGGCTTCTTGACAAATCGATTCGTGAAAAGATCCTCGATCGATTTCTTCGGGTCTTGATGTTCGATCGTTCGACTACTGCCCCCTGAAAAATCATATTTTATTTTTCCAAAAATTAAAATAATTTTTTCTCCTACTTTTTGACTCCAGCAACCCACCAAGATTTGTTTGAGTTTTTATTATTTTCTTGGAAGCCATCCCGGCTGGCCCTGCAAAGGAATGGGTGCTAGACAGAAAGGAAATTGAAGAGAAAAAAATAAGAGAACAATTGAAAACTCAATCCATAGAAATAAGTTTTATATGAAAGGCAAGCAAAGCATTGGAAGCTCAATCCACCAGTATAGAGTATTTTGCGGAAACAATGCGATGGTTGGTTGGTTTCAATTCAGTTTGATGAAATCTGAGGGTTGTAAAAACTCAATCCACCAATTTCAACATTTATGCATAAAAACGTAGCTATTGCTTGGCATCATGCAGTTTAGCGTAATTTAAGCTCGAAAAACTCAATCCACCAAAGTAGACGTTACTGCGTAAAAAATCCAGCGAATCTCTTGGCTTCAAAGCAGCTTGACGAGCTGTGAGATTTGTAAAAACTCAATCCACGAATTTAAACGTTGCGTAGCGTAAGACGCAGCTAATCCCTGGGCTGCAGTGCTGTTTAGCTTAAGTTAATCTCTAAAAACTCAATCCACCCAATTAAGATTTCAAGATAAAAAACGTCGCGAATCGCTTGGCTTCCGTACAGCTTGACGCGCGGTGAGATTTGTAAAAACTCCATCCTCCAAATTTTCAGAATCGATAGCAACTACGGAAAAAACAACCAGAAAACACCCAGTTGACACGTTAGTTCAAATTAGACGGCGGTCAATTGGTTGCGAGCGTGAGTTGTTGCGGTACGTGGATATCTCGGGATGGGAGGAGGTGGACAAAAATAGATGGATCTCGAGGGGGAGGGGAGGGCAGAAAGTCCGAATATGAGAACGGAAGATATGGAGAACGGGGATGAACTGTCCATTCGTCTCTACAAGCAAACGGAAAATACGCCAAAAAACCTCAATCCACTAAAAACGGCTGTAAACCTTAATTCTTTTCAGTCCAAGTCAGTTTGAAGTTATAAAATTAATAAAATTTCTATGGCATGCTGTACGTAGTTATAGAGTCAATTATTGGTATGGGCACGAGATCTGGGATAGCTATAGGTGCTTCTCTCTCTCCCAAATGGCTGTAATCGACAAGGGTGAAGGGGATCTCTCTCTCTCTCTCTCTCTCTCTCTCTCTCTCTCTCTCTCTCTTTTTGACTGATAAATCGCCCGATCCATCGATCCCTATCCCCCAAAGGCACACGCGTCAAAATTAGGAGAGGGCCCGCCGTGTGGGCCAATGGTCAGTCTGGGGACGAGAAATGGCCAACTGACACCTATTTCATAAGAGGGTGTGAAAATACTACCAAAAATGGTTAAATTGATGGGTAGAGCTTGTTAAAAGCTACACAGGTCGCCATTTTGTCAGAATATCGCTACGGTATGATTTCAAATTGATAAAATGCTGGATTGAGTTTTTGAAAAGCTGCTATTTCAGCCAGACAAACTATTGGGAATCAGAAACTGAACCGAGGTGATGTGACTAGTAAGAGAAGTGGCAGTCAACCTGGCAGATACACAGCCAAAAGACTGAACTCTCTGGTCTAATTGTGGAAAACGAGTCGAGTGAGAGAGGGAATGGAGGAAGGAAGGGAAACGACCAAACTATCTGATAACAATCCACTATTTTTAGATCTAGTCAGCAAGGGAAGGGGGAGGAAACTAGCCAGTTTCACAAAAAACATCGATCTGTAGGGCGACCGTCAAATTAAAGGGACCAGGAAGGCAAAACCTAACCTTTCCGGTGTCCACTGTATCACTACGTACTTTTTGCAAGATTGATCTCACTGTACTTGTTCTCCCCGTGGGAATCGTGGCCCTTCCCGTCTAAAGTCAAGAAAAAGAGGGTCAATCTGCAAAATCAACAATTCGAATGTGGGGGGTGGAGGGCAGGAAGGAGAAGAACAAGGAGGCGGTGCGCCCAGATGACTAGCTGCCCTTTAATCATCCAAAATAATCATCTTCTCTTCCACTGCCCTCCCTCCTCACTTCCGATTGATTAAGTGAACATATTGGCAATCAGATGATTCGCCATGAGTGCCATTTTCATGAATCGACATCAAAAAATCGGGAAAATTGCATAGCAAAGCGATGATTGCCATTTTTAGAAAACTCAATCCCCAGATTTTCAATTTACATAAAAGTTAGCATTGAAAATTGTTAGTGGTATGCAAAATAGCCAAATATAAGAAAGAGAAAGCATTAAAATAGTTCTTCCGGCGCATTAATGACTTGAGTGGCCGCGTTGGAGGTATATTAGCAGCACGTCGGCAAGAAAATAAGTTATTCCAAGGGTTGAGTATTTCGAAGACTCAATCCTCTGATTTACGGCTTACAACAAAATTAGCACTGGAAATTTCTCGAATGGGAAGCAATATAGTCAGCTCCAAGAAGGAAAAACATTTAAATAGTTTTTCCGGCGCTTTAATGGCTCAATTGGACGATACCAAGGTGCATGGACAAGCTAATTTCGAGAACAGTCTCAAAATCGAGGGTTAAGCCTTTGAATGATAACGGGTATAGAATAGTAACTTTTAGGAAACTCAATCTTCAGATTTTCATTTTTCAGAAAAGCTGGGATTGAAAATTGGTACAGTGAAATACAGAATAGTAAAATATAAGTAGGAAAACGCATCGAGGTATTGTTTCCGGAACATTAATGGCCTAACTGACTCACTTTAAGGGGCATGGACAATCTAATCATGATAAAATGCGCAAAATCGAGGATTGAGTATCTGGATGACAATAAGCATATCCGATCGAAGAACAGTGCCCCCCTACCCCAGTTTGAGCCGAGAGGAAGGGGGACAGCACCGATTGGGGGTCTCTCCGGGTAATGTGTGTGGAAGGAAGGAAGGAAGATAAGGGAATGACGGCTGGTACCAGGAGGAGAGAGAATGACCGACAGATAGAGAGACAGTAGAGATAGAGAGAGCATAGACAACACCATATCTGGAGGGAGAGAGAGAGAGAGACTGATTGCGAGCAGTCCAAACAGCACCCCCTACAAGGCCCACACTCCTCCTTACAGTCAGCCTCCCTCCTTCCTTCCAGTCGGAACCACATTTGCATACACTTAGCTGAACATCAAATAGACGATAGGAAGTGGTTGTATCTACGGGTAGAGTGAGGGAGGCCTAGGCTAAAGCCTAGGCTTGCCTAGGCTTCCTCAGGCTTTTCTAATTTGCATCGCCTAGGCTGAGCCTGGGCTATGCAAAGTACGCCTGACCTCTAATTAGTCAGGCTTTATCCGGAAATTTTATGTAAAGTCGTAGAATATTCGAAGTTTTGCCGAACAAATAAGGAATTTTTTGAAACTTCCGGGGGGGTCGAAGAGCTGTATTGGGTCGAAGAATATTCTACAAAGTTAGGTTACTGTTTTTGACAAACCTTACGGCACGATACGTTAATAGCACGCGGATACACAAAAGTCAAGAGTCGGTTCGAACGGGCGGGGGGATGCAATTGGCTCTCCTGACATATTGCCTATATTTTTCCCACCTTCGGCATCCTTGTAATTTGCTATTGCGTCAAAGATACGAACGTTTTGGATGCAGTAACCAGATTAACATGTTTTTGCGCATTGCATAAAAGCCTGCGTAAATCCTTAGGCTTCCGCCAGGCGTCGGCAGGCGCGGAAATGCAATTCGGCCCAAGAAAGCCTGAGGAGGCCTGCCGCTCCCTCACTCTATCTACGGGCAAACGGCCATAACATTGCAACTGTGGGCCAGGTTGTAGTTTGGGTTCTGTCACACAGACCAAAACTCAACCCTTGGGCTTATCGATTGAAGTTGTATAATTTCAATTTCTACCTTCTGTGACGGCCAGTAAATAAGAAAATCGCAACGACAAAATCTATCAAAAAAAAGGTTGGCATAAAATTGAATCGCGGCAGCTGTGGCCCAGATTGTAGTTTGGAGCCCCACTCAATCCTTCAAATCCTCGATTGGACCTTTGTAATTTTGTGGGTTTTTATTACTTCTATTACAGCCAGAAAACAAGAAAATCGGAAGGAAAAATATTTTTACCAATGGCAAAATCAATAGATTAGCAGAACTGTAAAATATGGGCCAAATTGCAGCTTGGAGCGAAACTCAATCCTTCAAATTAACGATTTAATTTTTCTAATCTCCATCAGCCAATTCTATTTCAGCCAGAAAACAATTAAATCGGATAGATCATACAGCAGACTGCTGCCACGCAAAATGCCAAATAACACCTTTTCGCAGAAAAAGCGTAACGCAGCTCCCTTTGGCATAGTATACGGTATCTATCCCAGCCACCCTGCCTCTCCCTCTCGACAATTGGGGGTTTCCCATATTCTGGCTATGCGGGGATGCTCGTTGCACCTAAATTGGCCCTACTACCGTATCCTCCCTCCATCCCCCGTTCCCCTCTATGGTTGAGACAAAAAGGGATTGGGTGGGCGACAGCTCGGCGCCAGAAAATCCGAATGATACCTCATTGGGGACACCTGCAACCCAGAAGGAAGAAACGAGAGGAGGAACAGGTAATATGACGGTTCGAACCCGTGTTAACACGGACAGATGGATTCACGAAGGGGTTTTTTGGCTGGGTAATGACGGGGCGGCATCGTCTTTCCATGTCCGAGTAGTCTGAGAAAGAAAAAAAAAAGTAAATTTCGGGCTGAAACGCTACTTTTTTGTTTAAAAAGTCCCATTACTATTTAAACTGTACTGAAACAAAAAATATTGTTAGAACACTTTCCTAAAACGTTGAAAATGCAAGGATTGAGTTTGGATTTTGTAGCTTTGAAGGCAACATAAAGAAATGTAGGTTAATAAACGGCGTAATACTGCCTTGGGCCTTAAGTAAGTTATGGATATTCCCGTAAACTGTAGCAAATAGAAACAAAATAAGCGGAGATGATAAAAATTCAGCGGAAATCCAAGGATTGAGTTTTTGAAAACTGCGAAAAGAACAGTCACCCGTCAGTTTGTAAATTCAGGGCATAAACCTCAAAAAGCCTTTCAAAGTCTCGGCAGGTCTTTTCATTTGTTGCTAAACTGGTGAAAATTAATACAGAATTTGAAGAGC